AAACTTCCTCATCTGTAGAGACAGGCCCACCGTAGTACTTACTTCACAGGGTTATTGTGGGAGTGAAATGGAAAATGTACCCGGGGCACGTGGTAGAGACTCTGGCATACCCACGAAAAACAGGCTGTTAGTGACAGTGGCCTGTGCGGGCAGCCCTGCCCTGCAGTGAGTGAGCCCTTTATGTAAGGAAACAGATTTCACATGGCCAACCATGGTTCAAATCCCAGCCCTGGCAGCTCAAAAAACATGCTAGAAGTGTCTGTGCATTCTCTCTCTCTCTTTCTGGCAAGCATGCATGCCTTTTGGCAGTCATTTTTTTTTTTCTTTTAAAGAGGAGGCTTGGGGGGCTGGCAAGTGGCATGGTGGTTAAGGGCACTGGACTCCCACATGGCCGACCATGGTTCAAGTCTCGGACCTGGTGGCTTGCTTTCTCACTTCCTCTCTTTCTCTCTGTCTCTCTCTGATCAAACTGGAAAATAACAATGATAATAATAATAAAGTTAAATAAAATAATTCTAAAAAAAAAAAAAAAAAAAAAAAGAGGAGGCTTTGGTGGAGCAGATGGTGTACCAGTTGTCCCTGGACTCCCAGATCTTTGACCACAGTTTGAGTCCCGGACCGGGTGGGTTGAAAATCACTCCAGGCATATGAACATGTACGCCCAAGATCCTGGGAGGAGAATGGATTGCAGCGTGGCCATCCCCGCCCCCCCTTACCCCAGCCAATTTCCCATTTTCCCTCTAGTGAGTGCATGTGCCCTAAGGCAAAAACCTTCTTTTTTTTAAGGGGGGGGGAAAAAAAAAAAGAGGGAATCTTTGCCCAGTGCATGATGGGAGCCATGGGGTGTTGTTGAGCAGGAACACATTATACATGTGGCTTGACAGGACAGCTGTGAGAAGAGAGACTCGGGCTGAATCCTCTTAGCAATTCTCTGAGCCTCATCCACCTTGGAGAGTGAAAACAGAAGGCTGGCCCTGATGGACTCTCTCCCCCTTCTCCAGCCAAGGGTCTTCACTGACTTGGCATGGACAGCCTTTGTCTTGCAGGTCCCTTAGGGATGAGGGTGGTCCTTTCTGTAGGGACTGCTTGTCTCGACATCCCAGTGGCTGGCCTTAGGGGAAGGTAAGCGAGGGGCTTTGAAAAGTAGGTGACAGTGGGAGGACTTCAATTGCAGATAGGCTCTGGACAGCTGGCAAGGCAGGGAAGGGCTTGGAGTGGCATTCCTCTGGGCACTTGGATATGACCTTGGTTCCTGGTCTGGGTCCAGGCTGGGTGAGGCCTGCCCCTGTGGAGCCAAAAGAAGCTGACAATGAGTGGAATGTGGCCCCCTTAGGACCCACACTTCACTGGTGCCCAGGCATGCTGCCTGAGCCCCATGCTCCTGCAAGCCCTTTTCCCCCGCAGCTGGGCTGTGCCAATACAGCCAAGGACATTTCAGAGTCCCTGGGGCTCTTGGCCAGGCCATCACTAGGCATTGTTTTCCCAGGGTTCAAGGGTCTTTAGGGTTAGTGGGCTCTGGAGGTAGTACAGGGATGTTTCTTAACAGTTGGGTAAATTGAAAGCAAGACCTAACCAAAGCCTCGCAAGGCCACCTTCTCATATCTGTCACCTCCCTGTGTTCCTATGTCCCTTGTTCAGACTCCTGGCCCACTGCCTAGACGTTTGTAACAGCTCCTTCTTGTGGGCTCCCCAAGAGTTTTGTTTGTCCTAGTATCGTAATCTCTCCATAACCTGCCCGGCACACACACTGTTTGCTGTGTCTGGCCTCCTGTTCCCCTTCAGTGACTGCTGGTGACAGAGTCTCCCACACAGAGCTTTTGTAGCATGAATGTTTGGGCCTCAGGCCCCAGAGCCAGAAAACCTCAGCCTGGTGGCATGGAGGTTAAGGCAGCTGGATCCTAACATAGTTGACTGCACCATTGAGTCCTGGACCTAGTGGCGTGAAAATTCTGCTGGGTGCATGCAGGTGTATGCCCAAAATCCCAAGAAAAGAGTGGAGGAGAAGGGATTGTGGTTTGGCCATCTTGCCCCCTGGGAGGGGATAGTGATCCCTCCCCACCAACTACCCCCCTCCAAGCATGCATGCGCTACAGCAATAAAAAGAAGAACTCATCTTGGACCCTTCCTAGCATGGTGATCCTGGGCACGATCTCCCACATTCCTGAGCCGCAGGGCCCATGTGAAGTGAAAACTGTCGCAGTAGTTAGCTCTCAGTTAAATGAGATAGCATGCGCAGTGCGGTGGGGCACAGTGTCTGGTTCAGAGTCAACTGAGGAATAGTCATTGTTGGTTCAGCTGGGAAGTTGTGAGCTTGGAAGAGACCCAGCCTGGACAGGGAGGCAGAGGATGTGGGCTCCAAGTTCACTCTCCAGCTGCCCTGTGTGTTTTCTGAGAAACCACTTAGCCTCTGGGAACCCCACTTTCCTCTTCTGAGAAAGGGAGATTTGCTGTGCTTTTATAAAGTCGTCGTGTGACGTCAAAGCAATGCCTATGAGAAAATTTTTCATCTGTGTAGTGATTTTAAAACGGCATGGCGGTAGCTGTGTTGTGCTGATGGCGATGAGGACATTGTCACCGCGACAGTGGACAACTGGCTGGGCAGGAGGTGGTCACTCTGTGGAATGCTCAGCGCCCACGTGGATTTCCCCATCCCGCCTGCCTGCTCCTGCTGTTTCCAGCCTGCCTTGCATGTTCACCCCAGCACTCCGTGCAAGAACATGTGGGAGGTGTAAAGAGCCAATGGCATTTTCCTGGCCCTGATGGGGTTTGGATTATCTGTGGTCAATGCCATGGAATGCGAGGATTAAGAGCCAGACAGAGACTGGTTCAAATCTCAGCTATGTACTTCCCAACTGGGAGCTTGAGCAAGTTGCCCCTTCTCCATGGACCTCAGTTTCCAAATTGTAAAGTAAGGCCCCAGTGAGTGGAGACCAAGTGTTTCGCCTGGGGCCAGCCACAGTGGTAGAGGGTAGCGGTATACTACGCCTTCTGCATGGAGCATAGTGACTGATGGGCTATCGTCTGGGGCTCTGGGGTCATGGTGTCCATTTGCAAGGATTTATTATGGAGGTCTGTCGTGCTCCCTGCAGAATCATTTTGCTGAGAGTGGGGAGGATCCATGGAATCATTTCCATTTGCAGGTGAACACACAATTCTATTTTACAGGTGAATGAAACAAGGCGCAGAGAGGAGTGGAGCTTGCCTGAGTTCACAGGCAGGTTAGTTCCAGGCTAGGATGAGGGCGAGGCCAGGGAGGCGGCTGGGTGCAAAGCCTCAAGGGGCGCCTGCTTGCACGTGTCCGTGCAGAAAGAAGGTTATGTCCTGGCACCTCTCTGGCCTCACTCAGACCTGTCCCTGGGTTAGTGCCTGATTTCAGACTTGAGCTCCACTCTCCGGAACTGTTCGGAACACCAGAGAGACACCTGCTAGAGTCTCCCCGAGCATCCTGGGCCCTTTAAAAGGAGTCTGTGAGAAGTAGGTCACCCGGCGCTTTTTGTTCTGTGTGTCTGCTCTCTAGCTGTCTGGGTTCTCGAGAAAGCCAGGCCCTCCCACCCGCCTACCCCCACCCCAGACCTCCTCCCCCGGCCAGCTGCGCCTCCATGTAAGCATGCCGAGCCCCCTCGCACCGGGGCTTGTTGGCAGCAGGCTCCTGTCGTGGTGACAAGCCCTGGCGAGTCTGGAGGGCCAGGCTTCTTTCATGTGGGCCCTCAGTGAAGCTTCCTTGGTCTCAGCAGGCCCATGTTGCACCTGCCAGGCCCCCAGGAGATTAGGGGGCTCTGCAGCTCCAAGCACCTCCAAGCCTTTCCCTTCCTCTGTGTCGTCCCCCGCCCACCTGGCTTCCCTCCACTCAGGCTGCAGGGCCTGGAGGCTTTTCAGGTTCTACAGGGCTTTGGTGTCTTTTGGAGGGGCTGGTCTTGGGTGTCCATGTGGGCCAGTCTCCCAGCCAACACTGCCGGGCCTGCCTCCTGGGCCTCGGGGGACTTCTTAAGAGATAGCAAGGCTGCTCATCTCTGGAAGGGGTTCCTAGGACTTGCCTATGGCTGGCGGGACCTGAGGCCAGCCTGATGGTATAACATGAGGGGCCCGAAGGTCAATCCAGACTCCATTCCTGAGCCCCACCTGCATAAATGCACCATCTTTTATTCCCTACCGCTCTTGGGTCCAAAATTCAGTCGTTAGCAAGTTGCCCTGTGAACTCCTTGACATCCTCCTAGGAGGCAAATACTTTTTCAGGTAGACACTTTTAAGCATTTACTATCAAGAACCAGCCCCAGGCCATCCTGGCCCTTTATCAGCTTGCTGTGTGACTGTCGCCAAGTTGCTTCTCCTCTCTGGGTCTTGGCTTTGTAAGGTCCCTTTGAGTTCTAGCACTTTGACACTGTGGCACAGATTTGAACACCTTCTGCACCCAAGTCACCTTTCTTCATCCTCTGCAGGTAGGGCAGTAGAAGGGCTGGCAGCAGAGGGGTGGGAGGAAGGGCCAAAAGCAACAGCATAGACTCTTATCACTCACTGGTATCTTGGTTCTTCCTCTTTCTTTTCAGCACGGGAGTGGGGGGAGTGGGGTAGGGGGGGTGGGGACTGAGGCCCAGAGGGAGGCAGGTTGTCCAGAGCCACATAGGAAACCAGGCAGGGCTGGAAGCAGAACCCAGTTATCCTGCTGCCAGCAAGGGCTCCTCCCACTCTTGGCTGCCGCCTTTCTTCAGCGGTACCAGAGGACTTATGGCGTGAGGTCAGGGACTGCTTTTCCTTTCCCTGGAAGACACCTGCAGGCAGGGTCCCAGTCTGCTGTGGGGACCCTCAAGCATAGGGCGGAACTGGGGAGGTCACTGTGCGGTAGAGAAGGTAGTGGCTGGCGGCCCTGCAGGGAGGTGTGGGGTGGTGGTAGAGCTGGAGGTTTCCGGGAATGTGGTTGGTGGCTCAGGGTGCCCTAGGGCCACCTCCCTCCCTCTTTTCTTCCCTCCCTCCTCCCTGCCGGGGAGGGAACTGGACTGACAGTAATGCCATTTGCGCTGGCTCCGGGATTAGGTGCAGCCGTGTTAAGTGAGGAGTGTGGAGCCATTGAGGACACGGCGGATGAGGAGGAGCTGAGCAGCTGCAGCCCAGAGCTCGGTGGGTCTTGTTCTCTGCCTGGCTGCTCCAGGCTGTCCTGTCCACCCTGTGCCCTGCAACCGCTGTGCCTAGTCCCCTGCTCCAGCCAGTCCCTCCAAGTCTGTCTGACTATGTGTGCGCACAGTGTGTGTGTGTGCGCGTGTGTGTGTACACCATTGCCCAGCAGGGCGCGGGGTCCTGACCTTGAGCTGAACGTCCGCATTCAGGATTGGAGGCAGGTTTCTCAGGTGTTCCAGCTCCCTGTGTTGCCCTGACAGAGTCCAGCTGGGAGAGAGGAGGAAGGAGACTCGGGCTGGGAAGGAAACGCTCTGTTTCTCTGTGGCTTCTCCAGGCTGTTATAAGCAAGCCCACGAATCCACCTGTTGCTGGCAGGTCCAGGAGTTAAAGGTCTGCCTCAGAGCCATGGGGAAGCTGGGTAGGTGAGGTCCCAAGGTACTCAGATGTTACATCTGTGGCTTCAGTCCTGCCTAGGCTCAGAGCCATGGCAAAGCCTGAGGGTCCCCCAGGGATTTTTGGTGTCCTTAGCTTGGCTTCTGGTGGGGGCTGATCACAGCGACGCTGAATGTGTGAGCCCAGGTAGAGGGGTTACTGAGAGCCGTCTCTAGGTTCTCAGTTCATAGCCCTCAGTGTGCACTTGAGGAAGAGAAGGATCTTGCCCGGAGACACATGGGAGCAATGGAGCACTGAGCTGCGTTTCTCGCCTTCCCGCCGGCACTCTGTCTTCAGCTCCTGACCTCGCAGCTGGGGAGCCTGGCTCACTCAGCACGGCCCTGCCATCCCATTCGCATGCTCAGTCCCAGGAACAGCTGGGATGCTGCTGTGGATTCCAGGCCTACATGGATTTTGGCTTCCGCATATATGAGATGGAGGCCCCCAAGTTAGCCCACTTCCTGGAATCTCGGGGGGTATCGGGCAGCCCAGAGGTGGGCATGGTAGGAGGTGGCGATGACCAGCTGTTCTGCACGGGAGGCCAAGAGAAGCCAGGGCATAAAATGCTCTCTACTTCACTGGGCCGAAATGACAAACAAATGAGGGAATGATTGGGACAAGCTTGCTGTGGGGCCTGGCACACACCAAGCCCAGGAGGCATGCTGGTCACCGCTGTCCTTTGTGTTGCCCCTGCTAGCTGAGACCTCTTGCTTCTGACCGTCACTCCTGCCTCTCTCCTCTTCCTCGGCATGAGGCTCTGCCTGGGCCATGGAGGCAACCCCTCTTTCTGATGTGAGGTCTCAGGGTTGAGAGAAGGTGAGGACCCTCTAGTCGAGGGTCCGCTTTTCTGGGGCCTATAATGCCCTCTCTGCCAGGGCAGGCTTCCCCGAAAGGCAGAGCTCCGTGTGCTGGAGAAGCTGGCTCAGCAGCCCTGTAGCGTCGCCTGCAGGAAGCTTCTGTCCTGGGCCCAGACCTGGCTCAGGATTGCTGTGGAATGCTGAGCAGCAGGACCTGCCGGGTTACAGGTAGGGGCTGAGTGGGCTGGGAGGGTCCTAGCTCTCCCTCTGCCCAGCTGTGTGACTTCGAGGTGGTTCTTTGCCCTCTCTGAGCCTCAGTTTCCTTTCCTGTAAGTGACATGGCACACGGCAGTGACCCCACCCCTCAGTGTGAGTGTGAGAAAGCAGGGCGAGCTCGCCGCCCAGCCCTGGGGAGTTTGTGGCAGCTCAGTCAGTGCTGGCTGCTGCTTCCATGGTATTTGCAAGGAGATGTTCTGTTCCTTTTGAACGCCTGTGATCTGAACCTAAGAAAGCATGTTCAGCATGGATCTGACTCTGTCGTGGGCAGATTTGGGGGCTGGGTGGAGAGAGAGCCCTATTTTGGGAAGCGTCAGGGGCCAGCGAATAGCACGCCCTGAGATGGGCCTTTCAGTCTTGGCCTGCATTAGGAGCCTCGGTGGGACTGGAGGGAAGGGGAGCTTGTCCTTGGGAGGGGAGGGCAGCTGGTCCTGACCTGTCTTGTCATCCACACAGCCCCCGCCCCCTGGGCTGTGCAGTTTGTTTGCTTGGTAAACCCTTTCTTCAGAGCTGGTACAAAGGTAAACTCTCAACTCAGGCCCTGTTGGACGAAAGACAAATTCTCAACAAGTGGGGTCTGAGTTTCTGAGGTTTTCTGCTGGGCCTTCCCTGCCAGGGAGCCCAGAACAGATTCCCAAGTCGAGCACCAGGGAGTGAACCAGTGCTTTGTGCTTTGTTTGCTTGTTGATTGATGGATGGTTGGTGGGGCCGCATCCAAGAAGGATCATTAGAGGCCGCTGTGATGTTAAAACACACATAAAATGGATGAAAACAAAACTAGAAAGAGCCATTCCCAAAGAGAAGAGAGTGGGCTGTGCGGGGCACCTGGCAGTGGTGGCCGTCTCAGGTGGACGTAGGGAATGAGGGCGCCCAGTGGCGGTGAGGTGCTCAGTCCTCACCACCCCCTCTGCAGGCTGGGCAAGTCCCCGCCGTCTCTGGGCCTCAGTTCCTCAGCTGTAAGATGAGGGGATGTAGGTCATAGTGCTGTTGGGAGGGTGAAATACTAGCTTGTAATACAGACATATGGTGTCTAAAAATGGGAGTTAACATTATGAATACACTCAGCTCGGAGATTCCTCGTCGCAGATTCAAAGAGGGGGCGGTAAGTGGCAAGGGCACGTTGTTCTGAGCACCTGCAGGGGTAGGAGGGCAGGAGAGGGCTCCTCCTGGAAAGCTCTGGTGAAGCTGGAGACCAGATTCCAGTTGCCGCTGACACCTGGCAGCCTTATACCAGCCTTTCAAGGGGGAGGACAGGGCAGGATTGCTCAGCTAGGACTTCTGAAATCCACAGCAGGGGAACTGACTCCCAGCTGAGGCTGGCTTCCAAGAGGATGGGCAGGGCTTTAATGGATACCAAAACGGGCTGAGGTAGGTAGGAGTGGGGCAGGCTGGCCCAATGCCAGGGAATCCTTTCTTCCCCGGGCCTTGATGCCCCAGTGTGCTCACCGTAGGGTGGCTGCACTTGGTGACTCTGCTGCCCTGTGACTTGGAGCCAGACCCTCTGACAGTCCCTGGTGGTGGCAGCCCTGGACTCCCAGGGTGATTGATAGACAGCAGCTTGGCCTCCTGCCAGGCAGCACTGAGGGGGGGGGTGAAGGGGGATGGGGCGTGTGGTGGATTCCGGCAGAGAAGGGATTTGCTTCTGGTCGGCCTCCCAGGGGTGTAATTGCACTGGAGAAACCCCCGCGCAGCTGGGAAGCAAATGTGGAGGATTTTCTTTGCTGTGCTGGACATGGTGGGTGGGGCCGACTGGGGCAGGGTGGCTGGTGGAGCTGGGCAGCTGTGGGGTGTGGCCGGGTGGCTGACGGTGGCGTGACTGTGCTGGGGGTGTGGCAGGCTGGGAGGTGCCAGGTCAGCTGTGGGGAGTGGCCCTGAGTGCATGTGGGGCTACCAGTGCCTGGGCCTGCAGCCGTCGCTCCTCTCCCTCCGCCCTGCGGTCCCTGCCCAAGCCTGGGGAACCCACTGACATACTTTTGAGCCAGCTTGCAGGGCTCTTCCTGCCCTGACCTCTTCTCACCCCCACAGCCAGTACACATGCGGCCCGCGTGCCTGTGATGGCATCTTCTGAGCATGTCAGTGCTGCACGAGTTTGCCCATGCGTTCATGTGCATGTGAGTTTGTGCGTATGCGTGTATGTGCATGCGTGTGTGCGTGCATATGTGTATGTGGCGGGGAGGGGCTTTTGGGGGCATCATCAGGCACGGGTCAGGCCAGGAACTGAACATGGGCCAGGTGAGTATCAGGGTTGTGGGGACCTTTCCCACCCACCGTGAAACAGCATCACCTGTCCTAAGACCTTAGAGCCCAAAGGCATTTAGAAGCCTCTCTGGCAAGGTCTTGGTGCCCAGGGCATCGTGTGCCTGACGCCATGCTGGGCATCTCCCAGGGCACCAGAGGTGTTGGATAAAGACGGATGGGGGCAGGGGACAGACCGTTCCCTCGTTCCCAACTCTGTTATCGCAGACCTTCCTCTTCTTCCTGGGCTCGCTCTCTCCCCCTTCTCCCCTTCAGCCGACTTCCCTTCCTCTCTCTGCGTCCACTATTAATTTCATATGTGGCCTTAGGCCAGTTCCTTCCTGAGCCTCTGTTTCCAAATCTGTTAAAGAGAGAGTCATCTTATTAGCCTCTGTGACCGTGTACTAGGCCCTGGGCTGAGTGTTTCACATACACCCTCTTGTCCACAGCAGCCCCACGGGATGGACGAGTGGTATGAACCCTCTTTGACAGTTGGAGGCAGTTGGAGGCTCAGAGAGGTTGAGAGATTTGCTCCAAGGTCGTAAAGCTAGTAAATAACGAAGCCAAGACTGAAGCTCAGGCTCAGGCTTCAGTCTGAGCCCCTGAACAGCTGATAGCCATCGCCCTCACTCCGTGCCTTAGGCTGTTAGGATGAAATGGGACGAAGTGCACCGCCCTTCCCAGGAGGCCCACGAGCTCACAGTAGGCGGCACACACACGTGAAGGGCACGGTCTCTGTGGCTGCTCTCAGGGAACACTTGGTCTCACTCTTGGAGCCCACGCCCTCATCCACGTCTGAGCTGGACCTCCTTCCCTGATCCCGGTCTCCGCAGGGAGGCTCTTGTGCCTCTGCCCCTACCTCTTACAGGTCCTGGGAAGGACTGTGGGGAACCGGAGCACTGTTGGATGGAGGTGGGGAAGAAGTGACTTTCAACTCTACAGCAGTGGCCACAGTTACTGTGGTATTTCCCGAAAGTGTGGCGTTGCCATGGCGTCTCCTTGACGACCAGAGCATCTCATTCATTATCCCCAGCACCTTGGCAGGGAAAGCTAGGGCTAGGGCTGGGAGAGCGCAGTGGGAGCCTGGCTGAGGGCTGGAGGCCGCCATGGCCGAGGTGCCCCCGTGCTCCCCCCTACCCCAGCCACGGTGTCGCTGCAGCCTCTGGAGCTTTCTCTCCCGCGTGGTCTGGGTTCACATTTCAGCACTAGCTGTGTGATTTGGGGGAAATGGCTTAACCCCCTCAAGCCTCATCCTCCCGAGTG